GCTATCAAGTATGTGTGTGATGGAGGGCTTCCAAGCACTCACAAGCATGGACACTAAGTCCCTTGAGGTGCTCAGCACCAGCCATGGCCGAGGGCCACTTCTATTTATAGCCCCAAGGGCTAAACTAGCCGTTACCCCTTCACTGGGCAACGGTCGGGCCGACCGGACGCTCCGGTCGTGTTGATCGGACGCTGGACCTCAGCGTCCGGTCGCCCGCAGACGGCCACGTGTCCTGATTCCAACGGTCACTTGACTTGACTGGACGCAGCAGCTTTCAACTGACCGGACATTGAACCCCCAGCGTCCGGTCATTTCCAGTAAGGTACCGACCTCGACCGGACGCGTCCGGTCACACTTGATCGGACGCAGCTAGCGTCCGGTCACACTCCAGCTTCTGTGTCATCGTACGTCAGCCTGACCGGACGCAGCCTGCCAGCGTCCGGTGCTTTCAGATCCAGCGTCCGGTCAGTTGACCGACGCCAGCATCTTCGCGACTAACTCATTTTCACTTCTAACTTCATCACCCTTGCTCCAATGTGCTAACCACAAGAACTTGCATCCGGCGCAATAGAAAAATAGGCATTCTATTTTCCCGAAAGCGCCGAACACCACCTCCTTTGTAAATGTGCCAACACCACCAAGTGTACACCACCATGTGTATGTGTGTTAGCATTTTCACAATCATTTCCCAAAGGATGTTAGCCACTCAACTTGCCACGCCACTCGATCCTAGCGACAATGCAAAGTTAGATCACTCGAGTGGCACTAGATGACCGATATGCAAACAAGTTTGCCCCTCTTGATAGTACGGCCATCTATCCTAAACCCGGTCATAAACTTCTCTACACACCTATGACCGATGAAATGAAATGCCCTAGGTTATACCTTTGCCTTGTGCATTCCATTCCATCTCCTTCAATGTCGATGCAACACATGCACCAACACGATCAACAATGATATGATCCACTTCATATCATCACATGATCATATTGGTTCATCGATCTTGACTCTACTTGCTCTTCACCATTGCTATCGTCCATCGGCGCCAAGTCTTGCTCAAGCTTCACCGCCACGCGGTCCATCACTCCAAAGCCTTTGACTTGCCCTTCACGCTTGCAACCAGTCCATCAAGCCAAGTCTTGTCTTGATCTTCTCCACCTTGATCACATGACTCAATGTCATGTCTCATGTGCGTTAAGCTCCTTCATCATCACATGTGTGAGCTTTGCAACATCTCTAAGCCATTTTCACCTTCATGACATATGTTGCTCACACACATGTACCTATGGACTAATTACCTGTGTATCTCATATAAACACAATTAGTCCACCTAGGTTGTCACTCAATTACCAAAACCAACAAGGACCTTTCAGCTGGGCAGTCTCAGTCATGGTTGTGTCCTGAGGTTGTGGAGCGGAGGCCTCATTGTGAGTATCTGTGGCTCCTTCCTCTGATCTCCTTTGCCTCGCTATGTATTGTCCGGCAAGACGAGCCGGAGGCCGACGTTGTCTTTTCAGAGGTTGAGTAGGGACGACCTGTGTATATGGCAGGTCAAAAGTGTTAGCAGAGGTAACATATAGCCATAGCATTAGCCAAATTTACAAGCTACTAAGGCTTTATCCGTACCTCGTCGTTCGGATCAAAATCCTTGTCCAACTCGTCCTCCGTTGGCCTCCATCTGGGTTCTCGTGGGAAAGGATCCTCGGGACTTACATATCCCCCTGATGAGGTGTCATCATCCTCATCATCATCCCCTTCTTCGCCTTGGGCATCCTCTCCGCCTTCTCTTCCCTAGGCTCCCCCATTGGATCCTCATCATCGACAAGGTCCTCCTGAGTAAGCATCACTTCTAGACCCTTTTCTAACTCGTTATCGAACTGCTCCTAAGTAAGTTGGTCATCTAGTTCTTGCTCTCCATGGGATGGCTGCTCATCATTCATGGGGCATCGGGATGCACTCTTTGATGTTCGCGACATTTCGTGCCTTGTTCTAAGAGATGCAAGAAAAAAAGTAGTATAAGTAGTAGAAGTAGTAGTACTAGTGGTAGAAGTAGTAGTACTAGTAGTACAAGTAGTAGTACTAGTACTAGTAGTAGTACTAGTAGTAGTAGTACTTGTAGTAGTAGTCAAACAAAGAGAAAGCAGGACTAGCCCACTACATATGATGTATGACTCAAACAAGATGGACAGAAGAAAAGATAAGCAAAAAATTCACAGTTAGGCCAACCACTGCATATGCTGTATCAAATATAAGGACCAACCATGGATGTCTAAATTTTAAGTAACATAAGTCCAACCATCCATCAAATATAATTTCATCTGTGTACAAGCTTGCAATCACCACATTTCAGCCATTTCAAAAGCCACATAAGGACCACAAAGAACACATGCATAATATTGCAAGCCAGCATGGGCAGCTACACCAAATACACAGAATGAGTACCAAGTCTCCATCCCTATCACAACTCCTGGTCAATTCACAGTAGAGCCATGCCAGGAGGACATTACTGGTGGTATCAAAGCTGTGCAACATGAAGAACAGAGGCGGTGAGGGGCGAAGCAGAGGGAGGGAGAGAGAGTTCGTGTGCAGCACTGATGTCCATACTGTGTGAGCGTGTGCATTAGTACTAGTAATATTGCAAGTCTACGGCTTTAGTCTATTTAGGTCCTGGTGCTTTGGCATATACTCCCGGGACATCATTTGATCATTACTTTGAAACAAAAGTGTTACTTGTGGCAGCAATTGTAGTGGTACTCACAAGTTTGTTATTACAAAGTGAAGGCATTGTAAAGTAGTAGGTAGTGATTATCTGTTTAACTGTGGCACAGAGAAGGATCCCAATTACCAACCAAACTAATACTAAGCAGCTTTTTTTAAAAGACTAAAACAAAGCAGTTGCCTACTTGCTCCATGCAAATAGAACAGATCATTTGTTCCTTAATTTTTCTGTAAGACTTTTGCCCCTTTTGCTCTTTAATAATAATTTGCCTGTAGGGGGCTTCGGCCCCTCCAGTTTCTTCCAAAAAAACTAAAATAGAACAGATCATGCATATGAAAATATAAATGGTCATTGGTAAATAGACGTATATATATCTGACAAATGACAGCCTCACTGAAATCTTCAGTCGGGCTGGACCAGAATATCCAAATACTCCCATCATTTTTGGCCAAGGATGGATCGGGAGACATATAGATGTTAATTGCAACCACTCTCCATATTATTCAGAAAGTTATACGAAAATGAATATCACTATACAGACAGAAGTCTCACAAAACAAGAAGATCCTCCTATTTCCTCTAATGAACTATCTATTCTCTTTTTTTCTTATTATTTTTTTCTTATTATTGCAAGCTTGTACACAGACTGCTAAATTTTAAGTAACATAAGTCCAACCATGGATGTCTAAATTTCCTAGCGTAGTCAGAATATATTTCTAATTCTAAATCTTGTAAAAATAATTTCTAAAACTGGTGAATTTTGAACACACTGACAAAAAAAAAGTTCTAAAACTTGTTTTGGTGATGGATTTATCAAGTTGAGAATGGCGGTGAAAGTAAATGAAAGCCACATCGACACTAATGGTGAGTACTAGATCAAAAGAAATAATAAAAAATTAGAACATCTACCAACCTCATAACTATAGAATAGCTTTGCGACACAACAATGCACTCAAGTAAAGCTATGACTTCAAACATGCTACATGTATGGAAATGAAGTAGCAAATAAGAGTAAAAGAAAGTGAAACAGAGTAAGTTCAAGAAATTCCATTCAGCAAGACAAACCATATTGTTGGTTATGATGTACCAACATGAGGTGCAAGAGAATTGCAAATCAAGTGAAGACAAGACAAATTTTGAAATTCTGAGTTTTCTTTTTTCACTATAATATATAATCAAAACAAAGTATAACACAATGTAATAGTAGCATCAAACCAGGTTTTGTTCTTTTGGAACAGCACTGTAACTATTGGAAAATAGAATCCTAGCAACGTAGCGTCATAGAAAAGTGGCAGAAGAGTTAACACTGCAAAGGGTGGAAAACTAACTCGTTAAGCATATCGTTGCTAATTAACCAAGATGTGCTTTGGTTTTAACGCAGCAGCTAGAAATTAGAACAACACCAGCGGCTTGAAACAACTTGGCCAAAATGTAGACAGAGGAACCAAGTCTATAGTATTTTGCGTGTTTTTGCGGTGGCCACCATACAAATACAGAAATAAACTTGGAAATGAACTTTCACTTTATTGTACTAGAATATAGCAGGTCTTGTAGCATAGGTAACCAATTCCCAACAACTGAACAAACAGAAACATATCATTGAACTTGTTATTGGGATTCCTCAAGAAGCCATCAGAAATGCATAAATGAGGATAAAGTAGCTGATACAAATGGTTATGTAAGATTGTACTGAACGATCAATCAGGCATTCACCAAAGGTGCAACATCTCATGGTACATAACCGAATCCAAACACCAAAGCAGATGCCTCAATAATTCACTGAAAGAATAAAGTAGCTGGCAGAAAAAAAGAATGGAGTTGAGAATAAAGTAGCTGATAGGATTGTCCAATCCAAGGAAGAATGCACAGAAATCCAATGTGCAGATACATAGCAGTTAAGATATAAGATTGTTATAGTACATTTAGATTTAGATTTGGACTTTATTCTTAAGGCGTCATACTATATTTTCTGGAGACGCAGTGATCAGTGTTTCGTTCGCTACTTCTGAATTGATCTGTTGATAACTGTATACTGAAAAGGAGTAGGAGACTAGTGACTGTGCACGTAAGAATCTTTTCTTAGCCATCTATTGTACCAAAATGGCAGAATTCCATGTAGCGTGATTTAGGCATGCTTTGTTAGCTGACATCCTCCTCCTATGACTCAACTTGGAGTCCTTAGGTTTCAAAATCTTAAAACTAATTAGCAGGGGTGCTTTCACACTCTTGTAATGTGTGCAGCTACATAATTTGGCATATCTATGGACCCCCTAGACAACGTAATGGTGAGTATCCCACACTTATTTATTTTGTTTCTCATGTATGTTACAAATCTGTAGCACTAAACTACCTTTCTTTCTCTATTGTAATGACTATTTGTAGAAGAAAGGGAGAAAAAGACAAGAGAATGGAACCATTCAAGATGGGAGGAAAAAGCTCAAGACAGGTGATTCAACTGAACCTGAACCACTTGTAGTGAAATAGCAATGGTTTTGTTCATTCTTACAAGCTTCTAATCATTGATCCCCATATGATTTCCAGATGAAGAACAGGCATATGTAATGATTAAGTATCCAATAGATGATCTACTAGTAAGGCCCAATGCAGATGATCCGGCTTTATTTAAGAGGCCTCCTCTGGCTATAGATTTTAGAGTACCAAGATGTTCTGTGGGAGATCTCCTTATGGTATGGGACTTTTGCTCGTCTTTTGGGAGGGCTCTGAATCTATCCCCATTTCCGCTAACAGATCTAGAGAATGCAATTTGCCACAAAGAAAGCAATGTTCTTCTCGTGGAAATACATGCAGCTATGTTTCACTTGCTTATGAAGGATGAAGGTGACTATTTCACTATTCTGCAGAACAAGAAGCGGAAGTTAAAGGTTCTCCCTTAATACTATTAAGATCGACAACCCTCCTTTATTGAGTGTACATTTCATCCTTTTTTCCATTGCAGGTAAGTTCAGTAACATGGGCTGAGTATCTATGTGATTTCTTGGAAATGACAAAAAATGAAGAACTATCCACTAACATTGCAACAGTAAGAAGGGGTTATTATGGTCTTATTGACACTGATATAAAGCTTAAGATCCTCCGGGAACTAGTGGAAGAAGCTATTCAAACCTCTGCCATTAGGGAGATACTAAGCGACCGTGTGGACCAGAAACAAGTCCTTAATGCAACAAAAAGAGAGAACACCAGAAAGGACAAACAAGAGCAAAATCCGAACACTGAAATTGCCATGAAAAAGGAGGAGAATCAGACAGATGCTGTGCAAGGTGGCCATGAGGGTGTAGATGAGCTGGTTAGGGGAAAAGAAAATGACAAGAGTAATATTTCTCGGAGTAGGACAGAAGGGAAACGACACCTGGTGAGTACCTAACTCAAGTGTAATTGCATTTGCAGATGCACCAATATATGTATTCTAGTCATGTTCGGTTGTATGTGACAATGTTTGGTATTGAGACTTACTATTTTGCTCAATTTATTGGATTTTGAATGTTTTGAAGGTACGACACCTTGAGACGGAGATAGAGAAATTATCCATCTGTTCCAGCCCTCTTGGTAAAGACAAGCAGTACAATAGGTACTGGTTTTCCAAGCGTGAAGGAAGGCTTTTTGTTGAAACTGCAGATTCCAGAGAATGGGGTCACTACAGCACTAAGGAAGAGGTGACTGATGATCTGGTTGTAAATCTCTATTTTCACCATCTGTGGCTGCTCAAATAAGTTTTTTTAATGACAGCTTGATGTGCTCATGGGCTCATTGAATGTGAAACGTATAAGGGAGAGAGCTTTGAAACGGCAACTAGAGAAGTTCTATAGTAAGATAAGGTATGTTGATCTCCGCTAACCTTAGTTTTGGCCTGTATTGGACTTTGGTTTTTGACTTATGTTGATCATATCAAGTATGTTAACACTATACTTGTTGATATGATCATATGAATATCATTATTTTTGCCTTTATAACCCCATATCGTGGTTCATTAGAGAAGGCTTTTGTGACCTGTGATGTTTTGGTAATTAGGGCACTTGTACTTGGAGGCTTATAGGGTGTTTGGTTTGAGGAATCACTCCATCCTATGAGGTGGTGCATCATGAGTCCTTTCCTCAAATTTTGATGGAATGACTCAATTCCTCGTACTAGTACTAATTATTAGCGTGAGAAATGAGGTGATGATGCATCATTGCATAAACCAATTCTATTCCACAAACCAAACAAAAAAGTGAGGAATGAGTAGACGATGGGCTAACTCATTCCTCAAACCAAACACCCTATTAGTTCTTTAGCTCAGAAAGCACTTAGTTTTCTCTTGATACCTGAAGAACTCACCCTTGTACTCTTATTTGGTCAGTTTTATTTTTTGGTCATAATTTTCACTGCTGCTGATCCTACAGTCTGTACTGTCTTCCATACATGACTTGATGCTAACCTTCTAGACTCATTTCACAACTGCAATATTCATTCTTGACATGCCCAATATCACAGCGTTAGTATTTCAAAAAGTTTCATTAAGTGGCAACCGCTGACTAATTCTTCTCATGTTCCATGTTACAGTAATGCCCTAGAGAAACGATCATAAGATATTGCAAACAAGATGTTGCTTGAAGAGGGTTACTTACGAACGCGAGGAAGAGGAGCGCACGCCAGTCAATCGGAGCCCGGGCGGCTCTCCACCCTGCACTGTGCCGGCGGAGAGGGCAGGGGCGGCGATGCTTCTCTTGACGGTAGCAGGGTACGTCGGACCGGCGGAGGTTGCGTGGCTTGTTGAGCCAAGTCGAGTTGCCGGCGGTCCACGAGGGGGGGATAGAAGCGAGGAGGTCGAGGTCGGAGAGGACGGCAAGGACGGACGAGCGCCGTGGGAGCAGATGGAGGGGCCGCGCCGAGGAGTGCTCCCAAACCCTAGCCGCTGTCGCAGCCTGGGGAACGGCGGTGGATGGGGCGGGGGTGGCAGTTGGGGTCAGGGAGACGGTGGAGGAGGCGGTGGAGGGGTCAGGGAGGGGCAGGGGACGGCGGTACAGGCGGCGCCGGCGGCGAAATTGGGCAGCCTGACGGCGTCCACAGCCCGATCCACTGCCCAACACTTAGCGCCCAGCGACGGTCATTCTAATATAGAATTGAGCCACTGTAGGGGCGGCTGAGGTTATAAGCCGCCCCTCCAGTTGATTTTTTTTTCAAAATTCTAAATCAAAATGAATTATTTACATGTAAATAGTAAATAATACAGTACAAAATTTTTAATTATTTTTTATAGATATATTTACATATACAATAACTAAAACAACTACAACAGTTTAAAATTACAAAATTGAACCTTTAAAAATGGGGAAAAATTTAAATTTTAAAAAATTAAAATCAAAACTACTAAAATAATTTTGAGACACCAAATGATCTCAAATGAAAATTTGATAAACATCAAAGTTGTAGAGGTCATGAAGATCTACAACTTTTATTTTGGTCATCTTGTCATTTGACAAAATTTAAACCTTACAAATTTGAAATTTTAAAAAAGGACAAGTTCGAACCAAAATTTGAGACCCAAAATGATTTCAACATAAAAAACGATGAATACCAAAGTTGTTCAACTCATTAATATCTACGACTTTTATTTTAGTCATCTTGTCATTTGACAAAATTTGAACCTTTCAAATTTGAAATTTTTAAAAACGACAAGTTCGAACCAAAATTTGAGACCCAAATTGATTTCAACATAAAAATGATGAATACCAAAGTTGTTCAACTCATGAATATATACAACTTTTATTTTAGTCATTTCTTCATTTGATAAATTCTTAGCACACATTGTTCATTAATCTTACACATGTCTCATATAGTTTATAAAACCTTACGAGAGATGTGTCATATTTGTGAACAATGTTATTACCACTTTGTCATATGAAGAAATGACCAATACAAAAGTTGTAGATCTTGATGAGTTATTCAACTTTGGTATTTATCACTTTTTCAGCTAAAATCATTTGAGGTACCAAAATTTTGTCTGAAGTTGCATTTTTTTGAAATTCAAAATTTAAATTGCTCAAACTTTTTATATGTATATATTGACAAAACCAACAAAATAAATTGATAGAAAATGATTTTAGAAAATTTTAGGAAAAAATCATCAGATTTGGAGTTAGTATGAGGAAGAAAAACTAGTTACAAAGTTGACCCACAGATTAAAAAGAAAAATCACACTGTTCTACATGATCCTTACATGATCATAGTGAACAGTGTGATTTCTCTTTTTAATCTGTGGATAACTTTGTAACTAGTTGTTCTCCCACATACTAACTCTAAATATAATGGTTTTTTTTCCTAAAAATTTCTAAAATTATGCTTCAACATTTAAGTTTGATCAAACTTGGATGTGATAATGTTTTACACATTTTAAAATTTGAAATTTGAAATTTGACAAGTTCAAACCAAATTTTCAAACCCTAAATAATTTCAGATATAAAAGTGATGAATACAAAAGTTGTTCAACTAATCAAGATCTACAACTTTTATTTTGGTTATCTTGTTATTTAACTAAATTTGAACTTTTCAAATTTTGAAATTTGAAAAAAGACAAGTTGAAACCATAATTTGGACCCCCAAATCATTTCAACTGAAAAAGTAATGAATACCAAAGTTGAATAGCTCATGGAGATCTACAACTTTTATTTTGGTAATTTCATAATTTGATAAATTCTTAGTACACATTGTTCACACAAACATACGTGAATGTAGTCTCAAACACACACACATAAATGTAGTTTCAAACACACATACATAAATGTAGTCTTACATGCATGAATGTAGTCTCACACACACATACATGAATGTAGTCTCACACACACATACATGAATGTAGTCTTACGAACACTGACACACTTACATAAACTAGCTAGCCCACCGTGACAACTTTCCCCTTGACATCTTTTCGTTCCCATGGCAATACATCTTTGGGCAGGTTCTTTTCCACAGCCTCGATTTTCTTACAAAAGTCTATGAATAGCGGCATCTCATCACACTTATTGTAAGCTTCAGCGTCGTCCACGCCATCAACTCCGATGATATGTTGTTTCCCAGAGGCCACCACGTGCTTTGTCTTCTTCTTTGGGGGGGTTACTTTGTGGGTCGGGCATATAAAAGACTTTCGCGACACGTTCAGTGAGCACCCAAGGGTCATCCTAGTAGCCTACATTCTGGCGGTCGATGACTCTCTGTCCGATCTCATTGAATTGATGTTGCTTGATCCAACGGCATCGAAACAGGGCCACCTTTATATCCCTTCCATAGTCAAGTTCCCATATATCTTCAATTATACCAAAGTACAGGACCTTTCGCCCCACTCCGTCGAGAGCCTCTATTCGGACGCCGCTGTTCTGATTCACAGATTTCCTGTCCTTTGTGTCGGTATAGTATGTGTACCCATTGATGTCATAAGCATTCTAAGACGTCACCTGTTTCGATGGCTCGGCCGCCAACCGACTGATGGTAATAGAATCTATGGTTTCTCCAGGCTGTATATTCTGGTCCTTCAACCATGATGTCAGGCGTTGCTTATGCTGTTTCATGGCCCAATCATCTGAACGCCCATTCCTCTCGGCCATAATGATAGCCATGTGTTCATCAATGTATGGTTGCATCACTGTCATACTCTGCAAGACACTGTAATGCGCCCAACTCACCTCTCTGTAATCATTGTTGAGGAACACTTTTCTACCACTTGTGCCCTTTTCAGCTAGCCTTTCCTTGTGACGAGAATCGGGATTATCAATCCCTCTCTGTACTTTTAGCCACTCTTGGCAACACTCGACGATTTCTTTGTAATTGTAACCCTCTATCATGGAGCCCTCTGGGTGTGTTCGGTTATGCACATATCGGCTTAGAACCGATATGAACCGCTCGTAGGACCACATTTCATGCAAGAAGCTAGGGCCCAGCGCCTCGATCTGATGAACCAGGTGAATCATGAGATGTACCATTATATTAAAAAAAGTGGGAGGTAAACACATCTCTAGCTGGTTCTGGGTCTCCACCATGAATTCATGTAGGTCACTCAGCTCTTGCCTGCGAATCGTCTTCTGTGAGATCTTCGAAAAGAAGTAGCACATGCGGGTGATGGCCATCTTTAGGAACTCTGGCTTTGTAGCCCTGATTGCAATTGGTAGAAACATTGTCAGCATCACATGACAATCGTGAGCCATGCAATATGTTAATGATAGGTCCTTTATCGACACTAGCTTCTTTGGGTTCACCGAAAACCCAGTCGGCACTCTGACCCCCCTAAGGAAATTGCATATAGCTCTCCTCTCCTCTAGGGTTCACTGAAGACTATACTTGCCATTATCCTGCTGTACCGGCCAAAGCTCCCGCATCACGTTAAGCTGCACCATGTCTTTCCGTGATCTGAGACCATCCTTTGACTTGCCCGTGTCCATCAAGGTAGCTATGAGACTCTCAAAGACATTCTTCTGCACGTGCATCGCATCAATGGCATGGGGGACCTCCAAGTCTGGCCAATAAGGCAGGTACTGAAAGAAGATCGATTGCTTCTTGAATGGTGCGCCTTCGATGGGAGGTGTGCTTCTATCTCTGATCGTTCCATCCGGATTCTTCTTTCCATAGACGACGTGTATGTTTTGGACCATTCTGAACACATGTTCTCCATTACGACGTCTCTCTGGAGGGGGTTCATCCTCTGGGATGCTGCCATAGTATCTTAGGTACAATTTGCCGCGGTATTTGTGACCTGTCTTTAAGAAGCGCTGGTTCCTTATGTAAACTATCTTCCTGGATCCATCTAGGAACACTCATTTAGTGCCATCCAAACAGACTAAGCATCCAGTTTTGCCTTTGAACTGTCTAGACAAGGCAAACAGCGCGGGGTAATCATTGGTAGTAACAAATATTATTGCTTTGCATATGAAGTCCTCCCGCCAGAACGCATCGTACATCGGCTCCCCATACCTCCATAGCCTCTCCATTTCTTGCATCAGAGGCTTTAAGAACACGTCTACATCAATGCCTGGTTGTTTGGGGCTGGAGATAAGAATGGTGAGGAGAAGGTACTTCCTCTTCTGACACAAATACGTTGGGAGGTTGTACATGGTCAAGATGACTGGCCATGTGCCGTGGTCGGTCATCCTCTCATTGAAGGAATTCATTCCATCGGTGCTCAAGCTGAACCGTACATTCCATGGGTCATCACTGAATTCTGCTTTGTACTTGACATCGAACGCTTGCCACTAGCTACAATCGGCCGGGTGTGCGATCGTATCATCATCCACCTTGCGCTCATCATCCCACCATGTCATCAGTGCGGCTTCCTTAGGGTTTAGGAACATACGCCTCAAGCGGTCGATCACTGGCAAGTACCACATAATCATGGCAGGAATTCTTCTCTTATTTGCATCGTTGCCTAATGGAGTTTCATCTGGGGGCTGAGATTCTTGCACCACCTTCTTCCCAACCTTCTTCCTCTTTCCTGTGGAGGCTTCCACCCCACTTTGAAGGTCATTGTTCTTGTACCGACTAGCCCCACACCTAGGACATGTATCTAAAGTCTCGAACGATGTGCCACGCCGAAAAAGAATA